GACATATAAGCATTTTCATATATTTCCTTTTTCTGGGTTTTTGTTATTTTTGTGTTGAATTTTTTGTTTCAATCATGTTGGCCATCACTGGATGTTCCAAAATGAAGGTTGCTTCTCGGTTTTGTTTGGGACAGTAATTCTTTTGATCAGTTTAGAAGGACAGTAGTTGATATTTATATTTGTGTTCTACTCCTTTCCTTTGATTACTGTGAATTTCGGAATGAAATTTTATTTTATTTTTTAGAGTTTGATTTAGGCTCTTAAATTTTAATTCTTTGGTTCAGCCATTTGTCCAGCAATAGATTCTCAGAACTATACATTTGTTTTTCTGTTCTGATGAAGAGAAATAAAATATAGGCAACTGTAAGTGTTCTATTAAGTTAGTTTTCTTGTTATTCGTTGTCATTACTTTATTAGTTTATAATATGAATTTAGAACTCTTCTAGCCAATTGGCTCTTTTACTATTAATTTCGCTAGTTCTTGGTATTGCTACATAGCTACATCAGCTTTAAATTATTTGATTGCCCATACTATTCAGTGAATTCAAGAACATTACTTGTGGGTTGCAACAGGTCCTTATCAAGGGGGTATGTGGAGGATCAGAGTAGAACTTCCAGATTCTTATCCATATAAATCTCCATCAATTGGCTTTGTAATCAAGATCTACCACCCCAACGTAGATGGAATGTGAGTTACTACACATTGATAACTGTGTTTTTTTTTTTTTTTTTGAGTGTTTTCATTAAGTTTTGCCCGTGGATGGTATACAAAATGCATTTATTTTTCAGCTTCACCACTTCATTTATATGGTTATCTTGATGGTTTTAAATTTCAGGCCAGGATCAGTTTGTTTGAATGTAATCAACCAGACCTAGAGCCCCATGTTCAGTAAAAAGTCTTAACCATTATTTCTGTGATGTATATAGGATTGTTATGGCTTTGTAGAAGCATTTTATTGGAAAATTTGCTGCTTTTTAATTTTATGTTTCAATGCAATTGCACTCAGTTGTTGACATTGATGCTTCTTCTCAGATCAGGTAAATGTGTTTGAAGTGTTCCTCCCACAACTTTTGTATCCAAACCCATCAAATCCATTGAATGGAGAGGTTGCAGCTATCATGATGCGTGATCAAGCTGCATATGAACAAAGAGTCAAAGGTGGTTACCCTTCCCAAAGTTCAATATGTTTGATTATTTTGCTGCAATGTTAATGTGACCTGATTGAAAACCCATTTATTATAGCTTTGTTGTATATTTAGAACAATAATAGCTGAGAAATTCCTTTCTAAGTTGGAAAAAGAAATTCAAAGAAAAATCTGCCCATAATATGGTTGTATTGAAATTCATTTTTCTATTACATTTAAGATGTTTAGTCTTAATTAGATTCCATTTTGTACCTATTGTAAACATTTACTGATTTGCAACACTAAGCAAATTTTAATACATGTCAAATTTTCCTACACTCAATTTTGGTCTAACTTATTATTATTTTTTTCATTCATTTGTGTTTTATTTTTTAGGTAATTTGTTAGTCATTTAAATATTAATTAGGATGTTAGTTTTGGCATAGCTGTATATTTGCTTTTAAGAGGGTTCACTAGTAACACAAACGTGAGGACACTAGGACTTCTAAATCTGATCCATTATCATTCTTGGAGTACATCCAAGCACTATTGTGAAATCCCTTGTTGTATCTTGAAGTATATTTACTATCTCGACAAAATTATGATATATTGTTATCCCAGTAATCTTGCTCTTGCTCAAGAACTTGGGAAGTTCATTAATTCCATTCCTATTCTCTAAGTAGAATTTGTCTTCTTTTTGTATTGTCTAGTTTTACAGCGCAGGAGTAAGGGATTGTTATATTTTCTTTTTCCCTTCCCTTTTTGTTGATTTTGGTTTGATGATATGTTTATGTCATTTGCTTTGCTCTTCACTACAGTAATTAGATGTTTCTATTGGGCACCTACTTCATCTTTTTTAATTAATTAATTAATTTTTAGCACAAATGATCATCATCAAGTATGTACTTAGTCTTCCTTGCAATACAAAATTTCGTGAATGATAAACCTGATCAAGTTTTTTAATTATCATATTGTTTAGATCTTTGTCTTGTTCAACTTATTCATATCGAGGGCCAAAGGTTTGTTGTCACTTCCAAGCTTTTTCTAAAGAACTATCTTCTTCATTGCAACCTTTATTTTTCACCTCACTAGAAAGGTTTAGCATATCTCTATTCAGTAGACCCAAAAGGTTAGGCGAATCGATGCGTTTAAAAGGCGGTCGGTGCTAAAACTTTTCCTTTGCAATCAATAACCTTTTGGTCTGTTTCTACTTATGATACCAACAAGTTAAATTTCAATGGGTTTTCTTAGGGAAATCCAGGAGCATTGGGGCCAAGAATGCATTTGATATGGTCTTGAGACATTTATAATACAAACTCTCATTTGCCAAAAGTTCTAATACTTTTTCTAGAGTCAAGGTTTGAAGATTTTTTTTTCTTTCCATTATTGCTAAAGAAAGTTCTCAATTCTCAAATGCAAATAGATGGGGTGGTGGTGGTGGAGGTGGAGGGCATGTTTCTTTGAGAATGTTGTTTTAGAGTGTGTCAAGTGTGCTCTGCCATTTTATTTTGTTCAATGCATTTTCTTTTTGGTTTGCTCCTGTTTGTTTATCCTCTTGAACTTTGTAATAGATCACTTCTATTCATACACGCTTGAATTTTCTTATTCTTATTTGACCATGTACCACTTCATTGTCATGTAGGTGATATGTTACATGGCTTTCACTTTTCACCATTCACTTCTCTTGACAAGCATGGTTGGTTCTTATGCAACAACCATAGAATTTTCTACCTATTTGTAATAATTGAGAAAACTTCAAATTCTCTCTACCTGAGTTCTCTTGGGGTTAGGGGTGCTCACAATTCGGTTAACTGAACCATGACTTAATTTTTGAAACTGAACTGGTACCACCGGTTTTTGAAAATCTGGGAACTGAAACCCAACTAGAATCAATCAGTAAACCGATTGATCGGTTTCTCAATTCTTTAAGATTTTCAATATATACTATAAAAAATATATAAAATAAATACTATAAATACATATATATAATATTATATTAATAAATATATATTTATATTTATAAATATAATGCATATATATACCAGTCAGTTCGGTTAGCCATATTTTTTGGTTTGGTTCAATTTTTTTTTTGGTTTTTGTTGAGCATCCCTACTTGGGAATTCATTCATTGATTATCTTATTCTTGCAACATTGAATGATATGGGTTATTGAAGCATGGAATAGTCATGCTACATATATATATATATATCCGCTAGTAATTGTAGCAAAGAGATAAAAAGTTAGAAACAGTCGAATAAGATCCTCAGCACTAAAGTATATATGCTTTAACTGAATCAAAGAGATACAATCTTTATTACTAAAAGCAGAGCACCTGGTCTTAAACTCTTAACGAGTAGGTTGCTAATCATCATAGATTGCCTTACCGAGCAGAGTGTTAGATCCCTTGATACATGGAGATTACCCTCCAGAGATGCGTCACCATCTTGGTGCTCGACTGCCCAAGTTCTCAGTGGAGGAGTCCAAGACACTAAACGGCAGTATTGACTTCATCGGCATCAACCACTATTCAAGTTTATATGCCAAAGACTGCATCAACTCTCCTTGTCCTACAGGAGAAAGTCATGCATTCCTAGGTTTTGTTTACACAACCGGTTTTAGGCATGGTGTTGCAATTGGAGAGCCGGTATTAGGCATTTCCTATCCCATCATTCTCTCTCTCTGTTAATTAATTTGTTATTTAATTATTACTTGACAAGATACAACAATAAACCCATTTTTGTCACTGAAAATGGTCAGAATTACACTACAGACATATTAATACATTATTGACGTTGCTATGTGTACTATTCATTTTCTTTTCTCTTTACTGAATCGTGTTGATCGTAATTATTATTAGATACAGAGAGGGTAAAGATTATTATTTTTTTTTTAATTTTAGCATGCAGCTTAATTAATAATCTTATTGCTGGATCAATGCGCTTGTACGAGTATTTAATTTGTTCATTATTCTGTGCAGGACTTGCTCAATTAGACCAACCTGGTCAGAGAGAAGTTTTACCGCATGACAACAAGCGAATCGAGTTTTTGAAAGGTTACCTTGCTTCTCTTGCTCGAGCAATCAGGTGAGCCCACGGATTCAACCAAAAGACTAAAACACTAGTTTGAAGATAATATCCAAATGTTGATGGAGATGACAAGTAATTTTATGTATTAAACTGCTCTTGACATGCTTTAATTAAGATCCTGTTATCAAATAAAAATCTTTAATTACTAGTACGTTCTGTGGATTTAAATGGAGTATTTTAAGCAAGTCGCTTTGAATTTGATAACAGGATTACTATCATTATTTATCAAGTGTCTGACACTATCACCCTCAGTGGGATTATTTTGATGACAGGAATGGGGCTGATGTGCGGGGGCTATTTTGTGTGGTCACTGATGGACAACTTTGAATGGACTAAAGGGTTTAGAATGAGATTCGGACTCTATTACGTCGACTACCAAACGCTGGAGTGGACTCCAAAGCTATCTGCAAAATGGTACAGGGATTTCCTAACCCACAACGCTACTGATGAATATGATGATATACTAGTGAAGCGAGAAACAACTTAAAAAGATAGCCAACCGGAGAGCTGTTGAAGCAGATATATGATCCTTCTTGGATTATCATTTTCATCATCACCACCGAACATGGAAGATTTAAACTGCTTCTAAGCTTCCTCCCCTTCTCTGTTGCTCTCTTGCTAAATTATTATACACTTGTATTGTACCGACTAAAATGGCAAATAATCCAAGTTCTTTTATGGTTGGTTTGTATAAATCCTTTATGAACATGGAAGAGAATATGTTACTGTTTTCCTTTGTGAATTCCCATGATCAGATTTAGAGCATCAAATTCCACATCCAGGGTCAGGTTTATGCTCATCGAATCATGCACTCTTGACTCTTGAAATGTTTACATTCCACAATCTCTTATGCTTTCCACTTGGCTGACTTCCATAGCATTCAATTACAATTTCATGCTTGTATCTTATCTGCATTATTATACATGATTTTTGGAAAATATAAGCTTCCCTTTTTCCTAGTTTATATTGGGGTAAGGACATACATCTTACAAGCATGAGGAGCAACATAAGCAGTCAATCGGAAACGCATCCTTTTGGACACAAATGAGTGCTGCAAGAGAAATGATAGATGAGTTGTCGCTTCAATGGATAATAGAGATAAAAAAGGAAGGAAAATATGCATCTTACGCCCATATATTGACCATTTTTATTGTAGAGCAGTTTGCCTCTCAAGGAAAACAAAAAGACATGATGAAAATATATTAAGATTAAACACGCAAGTTTCATACCATCCATAGGTCTCTAACAATAACAGGACTGAAAGGAGAGAATCCAACTTCCCGCCATCCGACTGTAATAGGAGCCCGAGCCCAGCTTCTGTTCCATAATACAATTACAACCCTTCTCCCTGATAATGGTCCTGCCCAAACCTACATACCATGAAGCATCGCGTCAACTAGAGTAAAAGATAGCCAATATAGAAAAATTAATCAAGGGACATTCACAGTACATACACTGCATATAGAGAATACTGATTTGGTAAATACAACAAACTTTTGTAGTCAAGATGCTTAGATAGCTTTCCCATGCTACCTGCTCTATTTGTGTCATGCAATGAAAACCAGAATGCTCACTGGTCACGGTTTTACCAATTAGCCCATTTAAACCATGAAGACCATCAATTAACAAGGACTTGGAAAAAGCCACTGAGCAACCAGGTCACTAGTACCATGTGGATGTATGATTAGGCTGATCCAAGCAATCCACTATGTAGGGGATCCTCTGAATTGGCCACCTGTTCAACCTCCAACCTAAGCAGCTCTCCACCTTACCTTGGTTGTTCAGCCTTATTCACTAACAGCCTGAGGACAAAAGCAGAGAAATGGCACTGGTTGCATCTCATGCCACAAAGTGCACCAAGGTGTAAAGCTCAAAAGTTTTTTTTTTCAAAAATAGTAAAATAGAGCTTAGATCTAACAAATATATCTAAAAAATACTTTCATAGACATTGATAACATTAAACAAAATAGCAACTCACATTTTATATGTACAAACACTTCCATTTCAGCAAATAATTGTATGGATATGTTCATTTTCTGAACCCATTTTCTAAACAACTATTGATATTGAATCAGAAGACCCCAAATATCCAGGACCAACATTGAGCAATGTCTCCTTTGATAATCAAACTAACTAGAAAACATTAAAGAGATAGAAACAGGGTATTTTGAACAAAATCAATTTATAGATTAATAAACGTCTAGACACCTAAATTAATCAATCAGAAAAAACTTATCAGCATAAAAGAACTCACTGGTCATACGGGTTTCAAACCAACCAAGAGCAATCCATTACAAAAGAAAAATAAAATAATTCCATTGAGTAAAGAGGGAGAATAATTAAGAAATTCATTGGGGGTTTTGTTCAGGAGAGTCTTGCATGATGAAATCTCTCACATACATTAGGGAGGAATCACATTTTCTTCTCAAATTAAGGATAGGGCCACATAAAACTCAGCATGAAGCCTAGTTTGATCCCAAGTTTATGGATCGTATATGAAAAACTTTTCTTAACCTCCCATGAAACTAGCTATAAGTTTGATCCACTTCCTAATTCATGAATTCCTGAAACCCTCTAAAAGTATTGGGTTTTGACACATATGTTTGCCTTCACTTTATAATGGAAAATAACTTCTAAAAGCAACACTTTATCAATAAATCCAAAAAGGATAGAACTCTAATTTATAATTAAAATACTAAGGAAATGAAGAATTATGTCACACAGTTCGATGTTGAGAAATCAACCATAACTCACTCAATTCATGTTTGAATTGTACAATTATTATAATAAAAAGAGAATCAAGACAAATGGAAAGACTTGACCACTCACATTTGTGTCACAGGTAGGTGACAAACCTAAAACAGTCATTCCATGCAACTTCAAGTTGGAAAAAGACAATTTGCAACAACTAAACCTTTACTTATGCAAGTATTTTACCTTCGGTCTTAACCTGTATATATGCATTGTTTAATAGGTAGAAAGGTTTTAAACCCATGCCCATGCTATTGTGAAATCGGGATTTACATGCATTAACAACTTAAGAAAGCTGTTATCTCATAAAGTATCATCTAGGGGTGTGGGTGGCAGGATTTTAATTCACGAGGTAAGAACCTATAGGGTTGCTAGACTTGCCCATTGGAAATGTCATCACGAGAAACAGATTGTAAGTAATTAAATTAATGAAAAGAAACAAGAATAAATTTGGATGCATACTTCTAGCCCTGCTTGTGATCTTATCTTCCTCCCTTGAACTCCAAGTGGGTCCTGATTAACATCAATCACCTCCTTGTTTCCCAGGATCTGGAGAGTCTCTCTGCTAGCGGTTCTGATATCACATCCAATAAGTAAAGGAGCCTGTTACAAAAAAGGTTTTCACATCTTGTAATAATGGTTGGAACAGAACTAGAAAGTTTTATGTCTTACAAATTTACCTTCATAAGAGCCCAAATGCTAAAGTGAGACCTGTACTCCTCTAGACTCATTCCTCCATTTCCCACTTCCAACATGTCAGGATCTATCATAGTAGCACCACAAGCTAAGTGCTTGATATTTTTCCTTGGTGCGTAAAATTAAAAAAAATGTTTAATCTATAAATTCAAAGATTAAAAATTAACGAACAACAAAACTTTGTGTAGTTCCAGTGTTCCAGAATTCACTAAAGCCAAGTTCAACAAAACTAAACAAGCATGGAACTTTAAGTCAACCCACCAATAAAAGTTACCCTTACCGTTCCATCTGCCTGGCCCTGCAAATCTTCCCCAAATGTTGTTCCCATCTGCAATTGATGTGATACTGAAAAGATAAAAGCACAGTCAACAAAAGCTATCCACTTAAGCTTGGATTCTCATGTAGTAAGGAAGTTTGTTGAAATTACAGAAAGAAGGATGAAGACCTGTCCCATTTGTCTTGAATGTCACCTGTGGTTCTCCAGGCATTACCAAATCTCGCAGCCCAGTTTGCTGGATTCTCTTCTCCCCTAAAAATAATTGTGCCATTATTTAGGCATTATGAAATTGTATTCAACTATTGTAATGGATTTTGTTGCTCATAATTGTAGTTTATCCTTCATTTTAACGGGGTTTCCATTATTCACTAATAACTTTTTAATACAAGTATTCTTATTCATCCTGTTACTTGAGTGCTTTGCTAGGTTGTAGATTACATTAAGCTTGTCAGTTTGATTTGGTTTAGGGGATTGAAAGGTGCTTGGTTGTACCATATGGGTTGTTTGGTTGTTTAGGAATGCTGGTTGGGGGTATTTGGAGTTTATTGTTTATTGGGTTGGGAAGTTCTCAAGAGTTACGTTGGATGACTCTTGAGATGATGTTTTCTAGTTGTGGGTTTGTTGTTGATAATGTTGGGTCTGATTAGTAGGATGAGATAGAAGGGGCTTTCTTTGGTCATTGTTCAATTAATATTTTTTAGGTAGTAGTATGGTACTGTGTGATGATGCTCATGTATTAGATGATTTATCACCAATCTTTATATCTTTCTTTCTTTTTCCTTCAATGAGTTCTATTTATTATCAAAAACAAATATCACATGAACAACTCTGGCCAATTGACTAACATAATAGAAGACAATTGGCTGAGCTCTTACTGATCAGTACTGGAGAATGGAAAAGATTTTAAAACTACTATAGATTGTGCAAAAATGATATATTCTTACCATTCACAAATTGAGTAGACAATTGGTCGGCCAACCTTTTGTAATGCATAACTCATTCGAGCAAACCTGCAAATGAAAAAGTGGTTCCATTATCAACTTACACATAACACCTGCATTAATTATGGATGATGATGACATCAGACCTGAACTATTTTCCAAGTTCTTAATAAAAGAGTTTAATATCTTTGTTGAGGGCAAATCCGCTACACTATTCCAGTTTCAAATTTATACCAAAAACATACAAACCAAATCAATTGAATTCTAACTAACCAAGATTAAGCAAAATAATTCTCACCACTCATTCATAGCAGCACTCAACAGATAAATCCAACCACTACTGAGTCTTAATTAATAAGAGGCTAGTAATAAAACCATCCAACAAGTGGAACAGAAAAGAAACAATACTCTTAACACTTGGAGACAATAAGAGAAACAGGAACAAAATGAAACATCATGTATGCAACCCAGTAAAGTGCAATAGCACAAAAAGCTAAACAGACTGTCTGTAATAAAACAAAGGATTCATACTTTTTCAGTGCATTGTCCTTTTGTGTTTTACACCCATGCCTGTGATGACTTGTTTTGCTAGCATTGCTAGATATTAGTGTAGAAACCAGTGTTTTAAAAGGCATGGGAGGTGCATGCCTGTGCCTCCAGGCGAGGTGCCCCCAAAACACCCTTGGCAAAGGCATTGATATCTCCGTGGCGTACACCTCAGGTGCAAGAGGCGTATGCCTCATGTGCCTCATCATACCTCATGCAAAAAGACAGAAAAAAAAAAGAAAATAAAGAAAGGAAAAAGAAAATAAAGGAATGGAAAAGAAAGGGAAGGGAAGAAAGAAAGAAAGAGAAGAAAAAAAGAGAATAGAAAGAAAAGAAAAGGGAAGGGAAAGGAAGGAAAGAGAAGGATACTTAATCATCTGCCTCCTCCTTCCTCCTCATCCACCCCCTTTTAAGGAAGCTTACACCTCCTTGTATTTGGGAGGCTTATGCCTCTTACATTCCAAACTACGCCTCATACCTCCAAGTAGTGGAACACCTTGCGTCATGCCTTCACATTTTAAAACATTGGTAGAAACAGAGAAGATCATAATTTAGGCTTTCAGATTTCCATTATGTAAATGCAATAGACTAAAAGTAGCAAGCCCATTATCTATGGCAGCATGCACAACCTTCCAAGAATACTTTTGCCGTTTCTGTAATTTCAAATAATTCTGTTTCTTACTTTTCTTTTTTTCTTTTGATTTAGCAATTTAACATTAATGATGTATATGTAATTCATTAAGAGAAATGGCAACACCTGTCTTGAGGATGGGAGCCATCATTGTAACAGTTATCATACTTCAAATAATCAACTCCCTACAGCCAAAATCACCAATTAAAGTGCGTCAAGTAATTGCTTCACTTGTATTTTGGACTGAAAACAAATCACTGTTCACAAGCTAACAAAGACTGTATAAAGTGTTCCTGCAATTTGTCTCCTTTGTAAACAATTCAATAGTTCACAATGGCAATTGGTGCTTAGCCAGAAGGAACCCAGGAAACCAGGTAAAATTTGATGAGTTGGACCAAGAATTGCTCCTAAAGCTGGGACAGGAAGTAACCAAACAAATCCACTGTCAAGATGGATGAGTCCATTGGTCCACCAAAAAAAAAAACTGCAAGCTTATACCCAAGTAGCAAAGGTTCTCGCATCCTGATCTTCATGCCCAAAGGAACCCGGCATGGTCTTGCTGCAGGTTCTGTAACTGAAAAGAGGAGAAACTGTCATATTTGCATGCTATTAATAATAGAAAAACAGAAAACCAAATTAATGAAGGTCAACATGTTATAAATGTACAATCATAAATTATCCTATTTGAATCTTGCATTGGACTTTATAAAAAATGGAGCTCCATGCAAAGGCATTTCAGGCCAGAAATTAACTTTGCTGAATGATCACAGTTACCCCATTCTCATTCACCTAGTTAGTATTTAAGTGCTCTGTATCCTGAGAATGAAAGTGCATATACTGCTCAAAGTACTTGGACTATGTGCATGTGTATGATTAGGGGTGTCCATGATTCGGTTAACCGGACCATGGGCAATTTTTGCAAACCGAACTGGTACCCCCGGTTTTTCCATTTCTCCAAACCGAAACCGAACTGGTACCACTGGTTAACCGGTCCGTCGGTTTCGGTTTTTCAGTTTTTTATATTTATAATATATTATATAAATATATGTATGATACTATATTATAAATAATATATGATATATAATATATTATAAATATTACAAAAATATATAATATATATAATATATTTATGAATAGATTATTATAAATATAATATATGTATATATTTATATATATATAATGGATATATATTTATATATAATATATAGAAAATATGTGACATATATTAAAAATATATATAAAATATACATATAAATATATATACCGGTCGGTTCAGTTAACCGCATTTTTCGGTTCGGTTTGGTTTTTCGGTTTTTCATGGACACCCCTATGTATGATTATATGCCTGTGTTGTGTGTGTGTGTGTGTGTGAGAGAGAGAGAGAGACAGAGAGAGAGACAGAGAGAGTACCCAGCATCAGAGTAAATGCCCAGCTTTAGGCCCTTTGCATGAACATAATCAGCAAGAGCTTTGATGCCTGAAGGAAAAGTAGAAGCCCTGGCAACGAGATTACCCCTGGCATCTCTATTCTCATTTCCCCAGCAATCATCTGCTTTATAATTTACTGTTAACACAACTCAATTTAACCCAACAAAACTTCATCCCAATCAATTTTTTTTCTTTTTTTATTGTTAACCTTATCCTAACTCTTTGGGATGGGCTACAACAATCTTGTTTTGTGCTATTATACTCTACTAATTGTCATATCCCCTTTTAGATTACAAACATAGAGAAAAAATGTAGGAAAAAAAACATACCAATATTTACATATTTGTATCCAAGTGCTGCTAACCCAGTCGAAACAAGAGCATCAGCTGTACACAAGACACAGAAACTAAATTATTACAGAAAATAAGAAATGCTAGGAATTTCATATAGCATTTGAAAAGCACATGGAATGAAATACTTTTACTTTGATTGTTAATTTATTTGACAGTAAAACTCATCATCTAATGAATTGAACTACTATCATAAATATCATAAAAACAGTCTTATCCTCCATAAGAGATTTCTCACAACAAGATCTACATAATCAAACAATTAGAAGTGTGTAAATTTTCAAATGCATTAAGTTGCACGAAAAAAATCCAATTAAATCTCCATAGCTAATTCATGGGGTAGATATTGCTACAATATTATAACGAAAAATTTTAACAAAAGTAATGACTTACATGAATGAACTGATTTTTATTTCATGCTAGTATTGACTCCATTTCAGATGAATTTACTAGTTGAAAAACCAAACAAAAATTTTTAATATGAAATGATTTTGTTGCATGTGCCCTCCAAAACCCCCACCGCACTACCAAAAAGCAAAAGAGAAATTATTATAAAAAATAAAACACTTAACTGAAAACTTAATTTCCAAACTAATCAATAAGTAGATTTTAAACCTTGTGTCAACTAAATAGATGGCTTTAGCATGGCTTCCGATTTTGATGATTCTGAGGTCCAGCAAACAGAATTACAACACCGTATCAAAATCAGGTGCTTAGCTAATGCTGATATGACATTTTATAACGAATCCTATAAAAAAATCATTTTCCAAAACCTGTTTTCAGTTTTGTATTTTACTGCATGTTGAAAAGCATCAAGTGCATCTGCCACATCAACCCATCGATGTAGAGCTTACATCTTCTGGCATCATATTTGTAACCACCCAATAAAACACAGACATGATCCCTTATATTTTAAATTCCGTATTTTATTGGGCGGTCACAAAAAAAAATGCCGCCACTATGGTTGCAAGAGATGCAAGTAACTTCTATAATAACAGAGATGAACTTTTTGACAATCAGAAAAATCAGCCAATTTGCCGAATCCAAGAAAGACATAGCATTGCTGATTTATATGAAATGAAACATGAGGTTAGAAATGTGATTTTTCTGACATGACCTCTTGAGGAACCACAGAAATTGACAACGCTGCTATTGCCAAATACCACCAAAAGGTTAGTTTGGCTCAAAAACTGTTGTTGGTGTTTTGCTTCACCAAGTTTAGAAAGTAATTTTCACCCTGGGTTTGAATACGAGTGTATGACCCACTCTATGACCTAACGTGCGACCTGGCTAATCCAAATTGTTCAGCCAATAGGATCTTTATGGATTGTGTAAGCCCCTTGGTCCAGAAAAGAGGGCTTTTGTTTGTAGGGAATAATTAGTTGGCTGAAATTTGAGTAACAAGCCTACCCAGCGGGCTCTTCCTTTATTACTTTTCTGTGGAAGATGATAGCAATACAATACAAGAACAAGGAAGATCATTTGGTTGTTGTAAAGAACTAAAGAAATATCCAGAACTGGAAATTTGCATAGATAAGACTTTGCACAACCCAGACAAAGTAAAGAAGAATAAGAAAGTACCAGTGCTCTTCACAACCCACTCATCAATTCTACATTGGAAATGATTCCAGCTGTTCCATCTGCATTTAGATTTCTTCTTTAGTTAATGAATCAAATAAGCAGGTCTAAGAGACAGAAACTTTTGACACAGAGCCCGGACATCTCCCCCATCTCCGCTTCTCGATTGTATAAATAACCAAGTATAATAAATCTTTAATAGGACCAAAGAAAATGGGAGTTGCGGAGACAATGAAAGATAAAGAAATTACCCCATTGGAGGCGTACGACCGACGCCATTAGCAAGGAGGAAGCGTCTATAGTCGTGAAGAGCACGGCTGCTGTTGATGTTGCTAACGTTTGCAGGTAACAAAGCTTGGCTTTTGCAGAAGAAGAGAAACAGCGCTGCCAGAGTAGATACAAGACCAAATGTCCGACCCATTTATGTTTAAATTAAACTACAGAAATCTGAAAACCAATGAACATAAATTCATCAAGAGAACAAAATGAGTAATGGATCTGATGATGTGAAGATTTTTAAGTAGTGGTTTTTCCAATCTTTGTTGCTGGGTGTATTCGCAATTTCGTATGCATGTAGTGAAAATGAAAGAAAATAAGGAGAATGGATAGAAAGGATTGAAGTTAAATCATAAATGCAAAGCCAGGTCTGGGGACTGGGGAGGCTTAGCAGTCGGTGGGCGAAGCCATGAGCTTTAATGGGTGAATGATGAAATGAGACCTATGTAGCAGAAGACTAGAGAACTGGGGACATCTCAGTCATTCTATATATCTCGTCTCGTCTGCATCTGCGTTGGACGGAAAACCAAATAACCATTAACCAATGTTACGTGAAATCGCTGAAATGAAACAAGTAACCTTTTGCCTTTTTCTTTTACCATGATTGTACCACTGCCTCTGTACGGATTACGATGTGTACGGCTTTGGAGAACACTTTTTATTTGGGGTCCTCTGTAACGAGACACACGACACCGACTTCACTCAAATTACGACGGTGTTTGGGATGATGGGTTTTTCTCTGCAAAAGAACTATTCACACACCTTGGGAAAATCTCCATGAATTTAATTCTGTACATACACTGCAATAATTTAACCGCACGGATAGAATATCTCCCAACAAGTTTATATGCATATACGGGAGATGTTCATAACGCTTGGAAACGATGCAAATGGAATGTAAATGGTAAATTTGCGTTGGAATTTATTTTAGTTTGTATTTGACAATATTACATTTATGTATTAAAAAGTAAAATATATTTTTCATATTGATAATAAGACGTAAAAGTATATGAATAAAAATAAAAGTAGATTTGTATCTTTTGTTAAAAAAAAAGTATATATCTCTTATATAGACTATTTTACACTCTACAAATTTAATTAGGTTGAACTATTGATTTTTGTCAAACAATAAAATAATTTCATTTTTTATCAGTTCTAAATTATGTATTTCATTTTTATTACCAATAAAAATAATTCTTGTTTATTACACCTATTTTTTAATTTGATTGGTAAATATATCATAAATGTGCCTAATTTGTAAGTTTCTGTGTTTATTTCTATATTAAAAATTTTATTACCTAACTATGACTTCGTAGGTTGATCAATTTGATTTGGATAGTTGAATTGCTTAGCCACCACTTGGATTAAAAATGATTTTGTTTTTTAGTCAGTTTTAAAGTATATGGATTTATATTGTTACAAATATTGACACAAATCTAACTTAATAAGAGAAACTAGGAGTTAAATAATTTAGGAAAATTATCTTAAACTCACCATGAGTTTTCAACATTTCTCTTAAACTCACCACAACTTTTCAAAATGTCTAAAACTCACCATGTCACTAACTTGACGTTAAACAGACTAATGGGTGTTAATATATTACCATTTTAACTTTCATAGAAAAATATAAAATATATACAAAATAAATTAGCAGGTGTTAATATATTACCATTTTAATATTTAGACATGAAAAAAGGAAAAAGTTCAAAAAATATTTTCAAATACAAAATACACAAAAACATAGAAATTACAAAAAAGATAAAAAAATTATAGAAATTGAAAAAAATAAAAAAATTATTTTCAAATTATAGAAACTATAGAAATTGAAAAACAAAATCAGAAAATAAAAATTGTAGAAAAACACCAAAATTATAGAAAAAATACAAAAATTACAAATAAATAACAAAAAAAGGAAAATTTATAGATTGTAGAAATGGAAAATGTAAAAAAATAGAAATTATAAAAACATTGGAAATTATAACAAAACACTAAAAATGCAAAAAACAAGTAATTTGAAAACTGAAAAAGACTATTTGTCCTCTAACTTTCCATTCAAGGGTAATTTGGTCATGAAAATTGTTATTTATATTGACATGGACACCTCTGTTAAGAAGCATTAACAGTGCACTAATAGAAGGTGAGTTTTGGAAAATAAAAACTTACTACATTGTGAGTTTTAGACATTTTGAAAAGTTGTGGTGAGTTTAAGGGAAATATTGAAAACTCATGGTGAGTTTTAGACAATTTCCCAATAATTTAAGTATAAAACTCAATGAGAGGGGATTAAATGAGGTGGGAAGTGATAATTGAAGTTACATGTTCAACCTTACCATTGTAGTTAGATGGATTAAATACACAATTATAGGCATTTTAGTAGCCATTATAGCTAGCATTAAAGTTGTAATAAAATGGCCAGTATACATTTTCTCAAATAAAGAAGTAGAGGGTAATTTTGGTCCAAAAAAAAATTTCACATTATATTCACACTTTTATATATAGTATAGATAGATAGATTCTACATGAACCACGTAGGCATCTTAACTTTTACCTAATGTTATTTTTTGTTTGGTTGGATTGTTTTAAATAAAGTATTTGTCTCCATTTTTGTAAAAATAACATCAAATGAAAACGTTTTTTTTTTTGTGTTTCTTTTTTATATTTTTTTGTTTTTGCTCTAAGGTAATGTTTTCAGTTTCATATATCCTATGAGGGGCACCTAGGGGGAATAATCAACAATAAAAAATGAGCTTTGGATTATATGGACCTAATGACACTTAACTTGAGTAAGCAACTATAAACAAAAGAGCTTTGGATTTTGTGCACAACCCAACAACTTCCAATTTTTAATGTGTCTATGAGGCTCAATTTGGGAAGAGTATAAATACAAATATGTATCATGTAAATAGATAGAAATTAATATAAAATATAAGGTTCTGTACTCTACATATTGGTATTTGTACTCATTTCAAACTGAGCCTCAAGAACAAATAATTACTAGCTAAATTAGTTGGAATCAGAACCGGAAAGGCTTATTGTCATAGTTTGTTTGGTTTATATAGGAATTGTAATGGAAATTGAAATCAATCGGAATGGAATTTCATTTCCAAATCCTAAGGGAGGGAGAGGGATAGCCATTCCCTCAAATGGGGGAATGCTATTCTGAATGGGATTCTGATTCCACCCAATCAAACAGTTGGTCATTCTGATTTTGATTCCAAACCCCTACGATCCAAATGGGTCCTGAGTTCTAAGCAAAAAAGAAAACGAAAAAGAAGAAGAAGAACAAACGATTACTAAGAAAATCACCATGGTACGGGTGGCAAATGGGTGGGTTAGGTAAGGGTTGAATACCAAGCCACCCATATTGACCCACCAAACCACCATGACCCATCATCAATTCTTGTTAAAGGGTCATAACCCACTCTAACCTTGACCCACCCATATTGACCCACTTGACCCATCTATATTAACCCTTAACCACCCACACTCACCTATATTGACCCACCTATCATCACCTATAAATACAAAAATGGGTCAGGATGACCCATATATCAAAAACAATAATTTTTAAGAGAAACATCTCTCTCAAGGTTGTCACGTGGCAAAAACAAGTCGAGTCAACCCGTATACCCGAAAATAACAAATTTTTTTAGGAGCATCTCTCAAAACTGCCACATGGAAGAAATGGGTTGGGGTAACCCATCTACCTGAAAATAACAATTTTTGAGAGAATAATCTTTCTCAAGGATGCCACGTTAAAGAACCGGGCCAGGTCGACCTGTATACCAAAAAAAAAAAACATTTTTGAGAAAATCATCTCTCTTAAGACTTCTACGTGACAGAAATGGGTTGGGTTAACCCATATATAAAAAAAAAAAACATTTTTAAGAGAATCATCTCTCTCAAGATTGCCACATAACAAAAACAGGTCAGGTCAACCCATATATCTGAAAACGCAAAAAGTTATAGATAAATAAGGAAAATAGCAAAAAAGATGCAAAAAATTCAGAAAAAATACAGAAAATACCATAAATTTACAAAAAAAATGCAAACCTTTTGTAGAAAACTCATAAAAATGAAAAACAAAACCAGCAAATTGTAGGAAATGCATGAAAACATCATTAAAATGCTGAAATTATGCAAAAAACACCAAAAATTGTAGAAAATGCCAAAAAATACCAGAAATTTTCAAAAAATGTAGAAAAATACCAAAAAAATTGCAAAAAAATGCGTAACTTTTATAAAAGTGCTTTCATAAAAGTACTTTCTATAAAAGTGCTTTTGTGTAAAAGTACTTTTGTAAAAGTGCCTTTATGCTTTCATAAAAGTACTTTTATAAAAGTTCTTTTGTGTAAAAGTACATTTGTGAAAGTTCTTTCATAAAAGTACTTTCGTAAAAGTGTTTTTGTAAAAGTATTTCTATAAAAGTACTTTTATGTTTTCATAAAAGTGTTTTCGTAAAAGTACTTTCATAAAGTGCTTTTGTAAAAGTGCTTTCGTAAAAGTATTTTTATAAAAGTGCTTTCTTGTAAAACTACTTTTATAAAACTGCTTTCGTAAAAGTATTTATCATAAAATTATTTTATAAAATTGCTTTTGTAAATGTGCTTTTGTGTAAAATTGCATGTGAACACGAAAGTTAATAAAAGCTATTTTATTTCACTTTTAATCACAAAATGAAATGTGGCATGGTGGTTTGGATTTGTAATGAGATGTGTATGTGCTAGGAGGCTTGAGTTTGAGTCATGTTAACTGTTGTTTTTTTTTTTTTTTTGAGATTTGGTGAGTATACATAGAGCTTAACTTTGAGCTAACCCATCTTGACCCGTGCGGCCCAACCCATCCTGACCCTAATGGGTACCCTCGACCCAACCAACTCTGACCCTTTTCCACTGACCCTAATGGGTTACTCGACCCATATTGACCCACCAATAAAATGGGTGAATTGAATAGATCAAATGGGTTGGGATCAAGATTGCCAGCCAGCCCTACACCATGATACCAAGCACAACCTACAACCATTGGGATTGAAACTTTGGTTTTGATTGGTACCATTTATTACGGTTTCTACCCCCAAACGTTTTGGTTCGATCAACAGAAATTGGCATAAAACTGTTATTATTTGACATTATTTATAGTTAAAACTGTACATATGTAGAAAGATCATAATAATATTATTGATCAAATCAAAATGTTTAAGGTAGAAATAAGGAAACCAAACAAAATCTTTTAATCACCATTACCCTCTGATTCACCTTTCATTGGCATCTTCTATAAGTAACATTACCTATTGAAAGTTCCATTTTGATATTAAGGCTCAGTTTGGAAGGAGTACAAATGCAACCTATATGTATTTGCACTGTACATATTTGTATTTTTGCTCCTTTCAAACTGAGCCTAAACTTGTTTAAAGGGGTTTGTTCCGACCACATAGCTAGCAAATGTTTTTGTGTTCAAATAATAGAAGGACTATATCATTTCCACTTTCCACTGAATGCTGCTATTCAAGCAGTTTATGTAACTATAGAATACCTCTCACCTTACAAACAGTGTGAAAGGAACAATCTTAGACAAAATCAGACAGAACTTTCCATGGATCTACTTGTCTGTCTATTGGCGAAAAAATCCAAGAATTGTGTAAAGTTGCTGTGTACTAGAATTCCTCTAATAAAAGTGATGATGGTGTTGAAATACTAAAAC